GTAAATACATAAACACCTGCAGGAATCACGCAGCACGTATGCTTGCGAGCACCCTTTGCTCACACCATCCAGTCCGCCACTGTCAGCTAGCTCCCTCCGCGGGCCAAATCGGGGGGATTCTGCTGGTCGTAACCGCGTGTGCACCAGATTTGGACGACGGAGAGACAGAATACCGCTGAGGGAAGGACAACAAGAGTGTTACCGCACCTTGGTGGGCCCCGGAAGTGGCAGGGCCGTTTTTTCACCGCTTCCGAACAGGTGTGCGCCTTGAAAATGGAATCGGTAACAAACAGGGCGACCGGAAACGGTAATAAACACGGCTCCGGGACCAGAACCAGAGCTGAAGTTGGAACAATGTGGCGACGGAGCCGGTTGAACAACGGCGACGGGCCTCGCAACAAAATCGGCAAAACGGAACAGGTAAAAAGACGGCCCCGTCGTTTCCAGTACAGCAGATCCAGTTCTCAGCTACGGGTTAACAGGAGTGCTTCGGGGGCCAATCTAGACAAAAACCGCAAAACGGAACCGGTAAAAAGACGGCCCGTCGTTTCCAGCACAGCAGATCCAGTTCCCAGCTACGGATTCGCAGGAGTGCTTCGGCGGCCAATCTGGCGGGAATGTGAGAGGGGGCGGGCCACCTCAGAAGGTTCGGACGTTCTCTGGCCTTCTGAGAAGTTCTCTAAGCTCTTCCTGAAGACAGAAAACTCTCAGAAGGCTGGCGGGCTTCTGATAATCCCCACAGCCTTCTCAGAAGGCCTTCTCCTGCTCACTTCCCCCCTTCGCTCGCCGCCGAGTGCCACAGCACATCCAATTCTCAGCTGCGGAAGAACCAGCGCAGGGGTGTGGGTTGTGTGACGGGAGGGGGTGGCGCGTGGGGTGCAGCTTGCTACGCACGAGCCCCAAGTGCGGTCAGCCAGCGCGGCAGGCCGCGGCGCGAAGGAACTGCCGCCAGTGATCGGCGGCGAGCGAGGGGGGGGAAAATGAGAAGGAGAGGGTCTTCTCAGAAGGCGGCGGGTCTCAGAAGCCCTCCGGCCTTCTGAGATGTGATCTGTCTTTCGGGGGGGGCTTGGCAAACTTCTCAGAAGAGAGGGGGGCTTTCGAGCCTTCTTAGAAGGCCCGCCCCTTCCATGTTCTCCCCCTGTGGTCGCCGCCGAGTAACATGTTGCAATTCTGTAGTGTTGGGCTCAGTGGTTGTCTTTGGGTGGTACATTTTAGGGGGGGGGCCGTCGGGGCTGGAACGGGCGTGCGGGCAGATGAGAGAGAGAGGAGGTCGCTCTAGTTTTTGTCCGTGGTTCGTCTCAGGCCGTTCCAGGTGGGTCCGAGGGGGGGGTCGAGCGGCCTCAAGGGGAGGAGCAGGATGAGAAGCAGAGGTTGATGATAGGAGGGAGGACGAGGGGGAGAGATGAGGAGGGGTTCAGGATGCTTTGGGCCTACATCGTTTGTAATTGGCTGCTGTTCCATGTGACTCTCGCGGGCTCTCGGAGAGGACGATGACGAGGGAAGCGGAGGAGAGGGAGGGGGGAGGAGGAGGAGGAGGAGGAGGAGGAGGAGGAGGAGGAGCAAGGAGATAGGAAAAAGTATGAGGAGAGAGCAGGGGATGGAGGCAATATTCTAGGAGATAGGAGTCGGAGGAAGACGGACAAGAGGGAGGGCGCGGACTTGGTGAAGCGGGATGCGGAGAATTCTGGGAGATTTGAAGTGGCACAGCACAGACGTTGCATGCTTCCTGTGGCCACTGCTGGACGGCGGCCATCACGATGAGGAGGGGGGAATGGGGGTAGGAGGAGGACCACGGGGACGCATATCATATCAAGCAGCTGGGGGGTGGAGGGAGGAGGAGGAGGAGGAGGAGGAGGAGGAGGAGGAGGAGGAGGAGGAAGAGGAAGAAGAAGAAGAGAAGAAGAAGAAGAGGAGCAAAGGTTGCGATGACCAGCTCTCCCGGGTGGGGCGGGGGGGGGGGACCGCGGGCCGCAGCGCCGCCTCGCGCCAGAGGCGTGCCCCCGCGCGCTGCCGCGGGACCGCGCTCCGCCCGCGCAGCCCGAGGCGCACACGCCCGCGCCCGCGGCGCCGCGCCCACGGCGCCACGGCGCCGCGCCCACGGCGCCACGCCCACGGCGCGAACGCCCACGCCCTGCCCACGGCCACAGCCACGGCCACGCCGGCAGCGCCCACGCCCACTTCTCTGCGCCGGCGGCGGGGCGGAGCGACTGCGCCGGCGGCCACCCGCACTCCTCCTCCTCCTCCTCCTCCTCCTCCTCCTCCTCCTCCTCCTCCTCCTTCTCCTCCTCCTCCTCCTCTCCCACACTCACGCCCACGCCCAAGCCAACGCCCATGCCCACGCCCGCGAGGGGTGACGGGAGGCCAGGAGGGAGATTGGGAGTCCGACGCGGCTCGGAGCGCGTCGGCATCGCCCACCGCGGTTGCTCGGGGGCCCAGAGGTTGACACCGACACCACGATCGGCGGTGTGCCTTCATCGAGGGAAGATGCTCCCGATCTAGA